CCCCAAAACCCCAAAACCCCACCATTATTAATAATATGAAATCAAAACAAATTATTATTATATAAATGATAAAGGTAAAAATATTATAGAAATAGGGAATAAATATGGCATTATTACATATGTTCATATATATTACGGAAATCTTGTTCTTGACTCCATCGCAGATTTTTGCCTCAGGAAATGTCGATTAATATAAAAATTTATGTCTATCTTAGAAAATGTAGTTACCAATTATTTTCACAGATGATAATTCATAAGATACTCTAGTAAAAAACTACTTCGCAAATGCATTGATCATTGTTGAAGAAAAAAACATTATTATATATGGAGGAAGTGCAAACATTAATTAACCTTTACCATTTGTCGCTCTCTATATATTCAGATAAGATAATCATAAACTTGTATGGGCTAATAGCTATGACTTGAATTATAATAAAAATTCATCATTATAATATACTTTACCCGCTAAATTAACTAGTGTCGAATCAATGGTTTTAAAGTAATATCTTATTTTTCTCAATTAATCTTATTCTAGAAATGAATTCATTTTCGTCTTGAATAATGGATAAGATAATGATAAAGAACTTTACATTGGCATATCAAAAATATCTATGAATACCGGATCTCCATTAAATAGTGTTATTTTGAAAAGTTAAAATAACCAATTTAGAAGATAGTAGATTGCAATAAATGAGAATCTTTAAATTTATGTTTGCATCTAAGATTAGAGCCTTGGAGTTCATCTTCTTTAAATAGACGCATCCTTTTAGAAAATTTTAAAGTAATTTATTTAAAGTTTAATCATATTACAGTTAGGCAAAGCTAATTAACAGTGGATCTTCGCCTTTAAAGTTGATTTACTAACTTTCAATGATAAATTTGGTGTATCGGTTTAAATGAAAACTTTGGAAAATACTCCATATGTTGGATTGAGCTACATTGATTAGCAAGTAGCATTCACCTGTATTGAGATGAATGATGACATTACTGGGAGTTTTATTGTTGGATATATTCAATTTGATATTGGTAATGATCTTTTGAAAAAGACTAAAGGATTTTCTCTTATAGAAGAGGCAAATAATTTCAAAAGTGCAAAATGTGTAACTATGAGAATATAAGAGTCAACAGGAAGAATACAGATGTTTTATGCAGTTAAAACAACTAATGGTAGAGATTTAGTTCTAAATACTAGAACTCATTACAAGAATGAATCAGTGAGTAATGGAGTGACTTTCGTGGCTGGTAGCTACTTATTGTATAATTGGGAACCTAATGTAATAGTTAAACATATAATGTATCATAAAATATTAGGGTAAGACTACGTGGTGGGTAATATCTTGTATCAATCGCAGGATAATAAATATTAATCTATGGCATTGCTGTGGGTTAATGGTAATAAAGGCTATTGTTATGCTAATTTAGACAGCAGCAGTTTCTCCGCAGTATATTATACATTTACTGAGAATACAATAACCTCTAATAATATTAAGATTCTTATTATGGAGGTTTACAACAATATCACAAGCCCCTTTTAAACCTTTGATTAGTCATATGAATTGATCATAAAAGATAAACAACTAATTAATGCTTAGAATTTCTATAACTCTACATTACAAAAATTAGCAGCAAAACCATATCAAACTGGAGATATCAATATTCTGCACATTACTAATAACTTATAACCTATATACGATTGCTATCTAAATGAAAAATGCCGAATACCTATAGGGAATTTTACATTGCCGAATTGTACCGATGCAATATTAATAAATCTTACTATTCAACATGATTCATGGTCAAATAATCCATAATAATTGCTTCCCTTGTTCAAAAAAGAAGATTTTAAACTAAATTAGGATTTGTATCTTGAATTTATTCCAACAAACAGTGTTTTAATTGGTGAATATGAAACTAACTTTTCCGTTTATAATGAGATCGATGGTGTATAATTCACTTAAAAACTTGAATTTGAATGAAAATTAAGTATCCACCAAAATCATTTAAATTGCGTGGAATATCTTAAAACATAAGAGAGTGTTTCCAAATATTTAGGCAGAAGTTCTTATTATGTAGGTTAAAAATACCCACTAATCAAAAGTTTTTCATAGTAGTTATTAAGTCAGAGTTAATGTTTTGGTGAAAAGGCTTGATATACAGTTTTTAATGAAAATTTTGGTACTAATTTACCTCCCTTTATTTAATGTCAATTAGAAACTACGACAATTTGTAAAGTGGCTAGCATTTACCAGAGACATGCTGGTGAGTATAAATTTAGATTTTTTATATACCTATTTAGACACAATGCTGATTAATATTTTAACTTTGATTGGGATTTAGAAGTTATTTTATCAAAAATCAATACACCTCCATACTTTCTTTGGGATATAGCTGATATACAAGTGTTTGAGAAATAGATATTAAAAGTAAGCACACCTAAAATAGTTGACAAAGAAAATGATCGTTATGAGGTAAAGATATATGGTGACAATGAACAAGCTTAAAATTTCACAAAGTTGATAACTAATAATTTCTTGGACATCAAACCTATAATAGGAAATTGAGGTTCTTATAATATGACAATAGTATTACGTGATTATAACCAAAATCCTATGAGTAATTATTAGACGTTCAAGCTGGTCGTAATGTAATAACCGTAAATAGGAAAATATAAAAACGAGAACGAATATAAATATGGTGTCTCTAAACTAAATCTAACAGGTTATTTGAAAGCCAAAATCTTAGAAATTAGAGAGGATGGATTGACAAGCATAGTATTCAATGCTTCAATGATGCCTATTTTGAATGCATCACAAATTCTAAATGATTCACTTCAAATTTTTATTGATTAAAAGATTAAAAGAAGCAGGATTAACTACACTGTCATTGATTATGACTTTAATTTATTGGTAATTTAACTTCATTTTGAGGACTACAAATTAGTTTCACAGACTTCAGTAACTTTAGATTATAATTAAAACTCATATAGGAATGGGATTTATTAGAGATCTATTAAACAATGAGGTAACTTTACTAATGAATAATATTTAATTAGGCATATAATACCCGAAATGTTTCTAATAAAAAGGCATATACCTCCATAAATATCTATTGGTATTTTTCAATTATATTTAATATTTTAGATGCTAGAAACGATTTTTAGCGAACTGGATTCATTGTATAGACAGTACTCCTTACTATAATGAGTACTAATCTAGTGCTAAACATTTTTTTGTATCTTAAAAATTTTTATTGAAGGTTTTTGTAGATCTTAAAGTTTGAGTCTACTTTGGGGAATGATTAATAGCTTTTAATTGATATCTCATCTCCCTCTCATGGTCATCAATATACCAACAAACACCCAAATGCTATTTGAATTTATCAATGATGTCACTAGTTTCTAATTTATTCCAATAGAGTCTCTTGAAGAACTGATGTTTTTCAGTGAGAAGGAAGATTTTGATGATAATTCTTATAATTATTATTTTGAAATAATGGGTTATGACTCTACTAATCTTGTTGAGAATATTGGAGTTATATACTATTTTATGCTTTTGATTCTAACTACAATTATAACAAGATAGTTTCTTAGTTAGTTAAAACTCAAATTTAGAATGTAATTTCTGGATTAACCTAATCAAAATTTTAGTTAGAATGTAATTAATTCAATTACTAATAAGGTAAAGATTATCGAATTTGTACTAAGATTTTTTCTTGAATCATTTTTGGAACTTGTTATTTGTTCATCTATAAATCTGTTCTATGTAATTTTATTATCGGCAATGCTTATAGTTAAGATATTTATTCTTGATTGACATAACAGCAAGCCTTCTAAGCGTATCCTTTTTTATACTTTGCTGCATATTTCCAATTTTTGTTCCTATTTACAATCATAGATATTAAGGCCATAATTTCTTCAGCGATTTATAAGTTACAAGATCAGAAGTTAATAATAAGCTTTAAATAAAATTTACCTTTTGGAATTAGTTTATTTGCTTCATAAGACCTGTATTTTATAACTTAATGATAGCTAGAGCATTGATTTATTCATTGATTATTGTAATGTTTGATTAAATTTAAGGAGTTTAGATAAATCTTATGATTTAACTTTCATTCTTGATGGCTTTATATCTTTGGCAAGTCAAACCATACAAAGATCCTCATTAGAATAAAGTTGAAATTTTCAATGAAATATGCATTCTACTAATTATTTACTCATTTATACCTTTTCTTGATAACTTTACGATAGATTATTACACTCGGCATAAGCTAGGGCTTGTTCCAATATTCATAGCGATGATATTCTTAACTGCTAATGTTTTGATTATTTTTTAAGATAGTTGTTGTATTCTGAAAAGAAAAATAAGGTTAAAAATTTAGCATAGAAGGTAATAGAAACAATAAGACTTAAAAACCAAAACGAATTTAGAAAAGATAAAAATAGTGCAAAAAAGATTTGCATTTAACTTTAGATAGAATCGTTACCAATCTAAGCTAATTAAATGATAATGATGATTAATCAAAAAAAGAAGAGAGTTCCTTAAATAGCGATTTGTCTAATTATGAATTTCAAAAGTAAAATGAAAGATAATCTTATCAAGGAGAGGGGTTAAATCAATTTAATAACTCTTAATAAATAAAAGAATATGAGCCTGTTTCATGGAAAGTAATATTTTAATAACATTCTGATTATAAACATAATAAAGAAATTACTGATGAAATAGATTAAAGTTAGCATAAAGGTGAAAAGTATTCTACTTTCTTTTAGGAAGCAATTGAAAAATAATATCAAGACTGAGAGTAAAATAATTTATAGATAGAGGTCATGTTTAATGATTTCAATATATCTTTTAAATTAAATCTTATTACAAAATAAGTAAAACAGACATTTGATTATTATTAAAGTTTGAATCTCAATAATTATTTCGATTGAAATTTAAGATTTAAGAGCTCATGGGGTTTTGGGGTTTTGGGGTTTTGGGGTTTTGGGG